TGGCCCATCTCCTCCGCAAGAGGTCGTTGAACGGCGTCTCTTCGATCTCGTCGTGTTCTGCGGTATCCATGCGGCGCTTGATGCCCCCGTGCACGGCCTGCGCAGCTCCGCTGGCCGCGGCGTCGCGCCGCTCGGGCGCGAGGCGGTGTCGAATTCCTCGAGGCGCCTCGGGACGGCGGGCCTCTGCCCGCTGCGGGCATGGCCGAGATTCCAATCTCTGGCGGAGGCCTGCGCCCTGTGGCGGCATGAAAACACACAAGATGAGTAGTGGCAGCTGCATCTAAACTAAAGGACGCACCAACGACGTTGGCGCCCGAGTTTGAGCCAAAACGGCTGCAGGAGGAAGGCGGAGGAGGGCAGGGCGAGGAGGGCCACGGGATCCGTCGGTGGAAGGAGGAATGCAGGAGGCCGCAGCACTTTGCCCCGCATTGGGCTCCAGGTCAACATGTATGTCCCAATCGGTGCTTTCACCCTGGGGGTCCACTTCCGCTATGAGTCTTAAAGGTTTTCTCGATATGAACATTGGCCCCCGCGGGAGATCCCTTCGGTGGAGCTCCCCATGGGGCACGCAGCGTGTGAGGGGCGTGCCGACATGTCGATGACGGTGATGCTGATGCTGATGCGGATGAGGTTGATTGGATTGCGCGTAAGATGTCGATGCTGTGGATGCTGATGATGTTGGCAATGATGTTTACGTTGGTGATGGTGTCGATGTCATTTGGTTATCTGTTGTCCTGGCACACCCAACATGTTGGACAGCATGCTAGCTATGATGATGGCGGCGCTGACGCCGATGACAGTGCTGATGCGGTCTTGCCGTGGCGTTCCGATGAGGTGGTAATGGTGAGGGTGTCAATGCTGATGTCGATGATGAGCATGGTGATGTCAATGGTGTTGGTGGTGATGATGTTTTCTTGTTCTTTGGCATTCTCGAGCTGTATGACATCATGCTAGCGGCTGTCGCTGCCGCCAAACGTGCGATGCCCAGCGCCAAGTGCCCAGTGAGTGCCCTCTGGCGCAGCCGACGTCCACATCTTGCCCCAATGCCACGCACGTCGGGGGGCCAGCACTCCTCCGAGCTTCCAGTGAGCCTGAACGGCCAACCTGTGCGCTCGAGCTGCCCTCCAAAATAAACAAAAAGCCAGGCAGCCATCTCATCAGACTTGCTTCACCTTCCTCTGCTGGCCCTCCTTTGCAAAAAACTTGTTGAACCACTCGACGTTCTCGTTGAGTGCATCGAAGGCTTCGTCGATCTTCACGCTCACCGCCAAGAGTTCTGCTTTCTCTCTATCCTCCAACACGCTGCCCTCGGCCAGCTTGAAGACCTCCGTGAGCTGCTTGACGTTCAGGCCGATCTCCTTGTTGAGCTCGCCGACAAACTTCCCGCCCTTGGTCGCCAGGAACATATGCTTTGCCTGGGTCAGCGCCTTCCCGACGTTCCACACGACCTTCCTCCCCTCGGTCTGCAGGGCCTTGAAGGTTGCGCTCTCCTCGGGCTTCGCTTCAGGCTTCTCCGCGGGCTCCTCCTTCACTTTCGCCAGCGGGGCGTCAGTGCCAGAAGCCGACGAGCCCGCGCCATTGCACGACTGCATGTCCCTGAGGGTGTCCACCGCCTCCTTCTGCGTCTCCACGGTGTCGAGGCTCTCCTCGGCGTTGACCTCCTGAATGTCTAGCTCCTCGTCGCCCTCTTCGTGGCTGTCCAGGACGATGCGGTACTCCCTGCTCCATTGCCCGTCCTTGCCTGTATCCTTGTCGGGGCGATGCATCTTCTCATCCTTGTCGAACAACTCGGCCTTCTCCTTGGCCTTCTGCTCGCCGAACTCTGCGATCAGCTTCGAAAGGCTCCACCACACAGTCGCGTTCTTGTTCTTCGTACTCAGGATGCTCGACTTGGTGGTCTTCGAAGTACCTCCCTTCGCGAGCTTATCCGCGAAGAAAGCCTGGAAGAACTCCCTGCGTTTGGCAACGGGCCACCCGTCGTACTTGCGCTTCTGCCCCTGCGACTCGAGAAAATACGTCATTGACGAGCGAGCCCGCTTCGCCTCGTCGGCGCCCCTCAGCAGCGCCTTCGCCTTCTCGAGCTCCTCTGGAGTGACCGTCGGCACCTCGAGGGTCCGCTTCTTGGGCGCCATGTCCCAAGCAGGAGCGTTGTCGGGACCGCTGCAACAGGGCGGCGAAACTCGCCGAGGCGACCTGGTCGTGAACCCAAATGGCGACAGCGTCCAACGATGTTGCGTGGCGCTGACTTCGCCGAGCCGCCCAAGGGCCGTGTCCGAGGGACCCCATGGGGGCCCGCTTGGGGGCCCGCTCGACCGAGGCCCAAATCCCTAAACCTTAGTGTGCAAAATTGACAGAAAAAAACAGACAACAAACAGAGTGTTTTTTTCGGGCTTTGTGCCGGCGACCGTCCCCTGGGCTACCTAGACAACATAGAAACAGACAAAAAAACAGTCTGTGTTTTTCCGGTTGTTTTCTTTCTTTTTGGCGGGGCGGCTTCCCGAGGGAGGCCAGCGGCGGCTAGGGGGCCCAAGGGGGGCCCCAAAGGGAGGCGCCTTGATGGGCGGGGCCCAAGGCGGGGAGCTCAGGGTCCAACAAGGCAGGAGCCACGAAAGCCAAGTGGGGACCCACGGGGACGGCGACGGTGACGATGGCGATGACATGACGACGGCAGCGGCGAGGGGGCCCAAGGCGGGGTCCCAAGGGAGGCGCCTTGACGGCGGGGCCCAAAGCGGGGCGCTCAGGGCCCAACAAGGCAGGAGCCCCGAAAGCCAGGTGGGGCCCCACGGGGACGGCGACGGTGACGATGGCGATGACGCTGATGGTGATGATGTCGATGACGGTGATGGTGAACGCCTAATCTGTCCCCAGGAAGCCCAAAGCAGGGTTAGGGTCTGCAGGCTTAGTAGGGCCTGTAGGGTTAGGGTCTGGAGGGTCAGAGTCTGTAGGGTTACGGTCTGTGGGTTTCGGATCCGAAGGATTAGAGTTTGTAGGGCTAGTGGGGTCTGTAAGATTAGGGTCTGTAGGTTTAGGGTGTGTAGGGCCAGAGTCTGTAGGGTTAGTAGGGCCTGTAGTTAGTAGGGCATATAGGCCAGGGTCTGTAGGGTTATGGGTATGTAGGGTGAATAGGGTCTGTATGAGGTAGTGCCTGTAGGGTTAGGGTCTGTACCAGTTTAGGCTTGTAGGGTTGGAGTTTGTAGGATTAGTATGGCCTGTAGGGTTAGTGTATGTAAGGTTAGGGTCTGTAGGGTTAGGGTTTGCATGCTAGGCTCTGTAGGGCTAGGGTCTGTATGTATAGAGTTTGTGGGGTTGTAGTGTTAGTAGTGTCTGTAGGGTTAGGGCCTGTAGGCTTAATCGGGTCTGTAGAGTTGTGGTCATAGGGCCCGTAGGGCTCATAGGGCTCGTAGGGCTCGCAGGGTTCATGGGGCTCATGTGGGCTCATAGGATAGGCTCGTGGGGCTCATATGGGCTCATGGTTGCTATCGTGGGCCATCTTACCGTCTTGGGAGTCACCTTGCATAATATGTCAAATGAAGCCCCCCTGGAACGAGCAAGGGGATGATGCCTTTTGGCTGGAGTCACTGATGCTGCAATTACTGGAACAACGGTTCAGGGTCCGATTGCGGATGTTATCAAGCAACATGATGATGCCATTTCGTTGGTGCCATTTCTGTTGCAGTTATTGGAACATCAGTTCAACGCCCGATGAATGATGCTTGATGATGGTTGGTGGTGTTTTCTTGTCTCACCACGGTCGCTGCCGAATGGAACTGTCCGTGCAGTGTCGGATCCCTGCCATAACTAAACTTGTGCTATCGTGCTCAGCGCCCCGTGCCCGTGGGCGCGCCGTGAAGCTTGACTTTAGCATTCGCCTAGGACCTATGACGATGCCAACGCTATCACGGGCGCAGTCTCCTTGGCTGGGGCCGCCTGGTCAATCGGCTCCGTGTCGACCGACGGGCAGGGACTCAGCTTGTTCCAGGTATTCTGGTCGACGATCTTCTCGTGCTCCTCGCGCACAGCCTGCTTGAATGCGAGCTTGAGGTAGGTCTTCTTGAAGTTGCCCGTCGGGCCGCCATTCGCCAGCGTGAGGGCATCCATCTTGTCCACGCGCGACTTGGGCACGCGTAGATTGTACCCGACCGAGCCGATATTTGGGATCAAACCCGCGCCCGTCTCGCAGATGTCAGTCAGCACCTGATCTGAGTAGGTGTTCACGAACTCGAGAGTCGTTTTGAAATCGAGCTTCATCTTCTTGGAGATCGCCTGCACGAACTTACGCTTGTTGGTGCTGCGTCTCTTGGGCTTGCGGTCACTCGTAGGCGCCATCCCCGCGTGAATGTACAGCGCTCGAGGTGCCCACGTGCCTCCAGCTGGACGGGGCCAAAACAGCAGCGCGATGAGGATGATGATGTTGATGATGATGATGTTGATGTTGATGATGCTGGTGATGATGATGATGATGATGGTGATGAGGATGAGGATGATGCTGATGATGATGATGATGCTGATGATGGCGCTGATGTTGGTATACGCTTGACTGATGGTGTGACATTGGTCTCTATAGTGATGCTGCTACATGGACTGATCATGTTGATGCGGTTAGTTGCAGTGATGGTTCTGACCATGGTGGCTGTGATGCTGATGAGGTTGACGATGATGGCATTGCGATGGTGACGGTAGCTATTGCGCTGGCGATTCCCGCGATGAGCGAAGGAGGACGAATGTTTTGGTTAGACGCAACTGCGCCCACGCCTACTGTTTGGGGCCCACGCTGGTTATTGCCTACTGTTTGGGGCCCACGCTGGTTATTGCCTACTGGTTGGGGCCCACGCTGGTTATTGCGTCGCACGCTTTGCGATTATCTCCTAACTAAGTCTTGGCAACCAGTGGGGGGAAACTTGATGATGATGATGCGATGATTTGGGTGCCCCTGGCTCTTGCGCACGGAACTCAGCCAGACTCATTTGACAACGGCGTTTTCTAAAGGCGAGGCGGCGCCTCCGCACCGCTCGTCATGCCTTCGGGATTGGCTGGAAGACTTACCGCTGAGACTCTTCATGCAACTGCTGTGAGTCTTGAGCCTGCTCCGCTAACTCCTGCGACTCGGACACCGACTCTGCCTCCTGTGCGCTCGAACTGGCGGCGGCGAGAGCTTCATCAGGCTGAACGGGGTCCGACGCGGCGCGGCGCAGCTTCTTCTCGGGAGAGCGCAGCAGGTTGTCGATGACCGCCTTGAGCTCGTGGAACCGAACGGCCAGCGGTTCCAACGTGTCGCGGACGAAGTGCTCGAGCTGGAACGAATCCTCGGGGGCTGGCCCTGCAGGGACATGCATCTGGAAGAGGCTGTAGGCGCACGCCATGCCGTTTGACAGCGAGCCCACCTCCTCAAGCAAGGAAGACGTGTACTTAGTGTCCAATGTCTTGCTCTGCGCCCAAACGCCGAGGAGGTACATCATCTTCTTGCTCTCGTCATCCACCTTGACCGCGCGGAAGCTGCCCCACCTGCTGGCGTCGGCAAGTGGACCCCAACGGTCCTGTACGCCCACGGTCTCGACGCCCCCGCCGCCGTCAATCGGGGGAGCTGGAGCTTCGTGGCTTGAATCGCTCTGAACCGCAATCGGGCTGTCAACCTCTCTCTGCATCTGGGCGGGATCCTCCTGCTGCATTTGCCACTCGCGCTCGAGATCTGATGACATGGAAATGTCGTCGCGCTCTGCTCCTAAAAACTGTTTGGTCCAAAGCTGCTATGGTGGGATGACGTTGAAGATGGCGATGGCGTGGATGACGATACACATGCTGGATGCCGACGGGTGCGATGATGAGCATGACAATTGGGATTATGAAGATGATGACCATAACAATGGGTGGCGGTGGTGATGAACAGGGCGATGCTAAGGATTGCCAGGCTGAGAAGGATGGCGAGGTTGAGGAAGTGGACGAGGGGGATGAGGACGGAGCGTGAGGCTCTTGCTCGAAAGAGCTCGAAAAGGTGTCCCATGCTTCGACGCGCCAGCACAGAAGTGATTGCGCAATATAAAGCGCATTGCATGGGCCCCCAGCGTGTCGAAGCACACGCTCACAACTGTTGCCCACGCCGTGGGGCGCCTACTGCTTGGCCCGCTTCGCAGGACGCTGGTACTGGGTGCGAAGCTCATCTGTCCTGGCCCTGGCCGCACCCTGAGCGGCCTGCAAGACACGGTCATGCGAGGTGCTGGTTTTCTTGAGAGTGGCGATCGTCCTGCAGTAGACCTTGCCGTGCTCACGGTTCAAGAACTTCGACCATTCTTTTGGCGACATCTTCGCAGGGTCAACCTCCTCGGGAACGGGTGCATTGACGCCTCCTGAGCTGACCCCCTCAGTTGACGGACCAGCTGCCTCCTGAGTTTCAGCAGCAGAGGCTGGCCGTTTCATGTTCATGTTAGCGCCCGCTGGCCTCTTCCGAACTGCTTTCAACTGTGACTGCAACTCCTTCCAAGCGCCGCTACTTGGCGGCGTGACTGGCTTCGCCAAGAGCTTCTGCAACTCAAGGTCGGACAGCGGCGACTCGGCTGGCAACGCCGACGACGGCGTGTCGCCCGTAGTGTCACCGTCCCCCTTGATGATGGTATCCATCTTCTCCTGGATGCCAGCCTCTGTGATGTCGTGCTTCTCATCTTTGCTGTCGTCTCTCTCCGCCTGGATGGCATTCTGCTTCACGTCGGCCAGCTGGGTCGGCTCGGTCGGCGTCGCCTTGTCGATCAGTTCGGCGATCTTCGTGTCGTGCAGCTCGGTCTGCACCGTGATCGCCGTCTCGTCGAAGAGCTCTGCCTGCGCGGTCGGCGCCTGCGAGGAGCTCTTCTTCTCTTCGGTGAGCTCCACTCCGCCCGAGTCGCCACCAGTTGTTGGCTTCGACGTCGCTGGAGTAGTTGGCGTAGTCGGTGCCGTCGCCGATTGGAGAAGCAGCACCAAGTCAGGGTCGTGGCTGGAGAAGAGCTCGTCGTGGGTCCACTCGAAGGCCTCGTCGTTGTCGCTGCTGGTCTCCTCCACGCTCACGTCGCACGCTGGGGCGATCGATGTCTGCGAGCGCGTGACCATGGGCGACTTCGGGGCGACCCTGATCTTGCCCATGGGTACGCTGAAGTATTCCTCGTACGCCTCAGGGATGGGTCTCTGCTTCAACTTCTGAGAGCTGAGCTGGGACACCAGGGCTCGCAGCCTGTACACGGACTTCTCGACCTCGCCAGTCTGGATTGTCATGCCGTTGTCGCGGAAGTATTTCTCGGCACCTTTCTGAAACGGATGTTGGTTCGCTTGGCAGCCTTCTGTGTGAGTCAACAGGCAATTTATAGCGTTGGCTAGGGGTTTCGCCGAGGACCAATTGGGCGACCTGCCGAATACGAGCTTATCGTAGAAAATGAAGCGGCCGTCCTTGAACTGCGAGGGGGGCACTCGACTCAGCACATCCGCCACGGCATCTGGTGTAAGATTCACCCCTTGCGTTGCGGGCATGTGTGCCCGCAACCTCGCAAGAATCTCGTGGGCCAAAATGGCTATGGGTGTGTTGGAAAATGGTGTGGCTGCTTCTGCGGTGACCAGACCCTATAAGCCCATAAACCTAAACAGCACTGAAGCGAAGGTAAATGACGACGGCAGCGGCAAGGGGGCCCAAGGGGGGGTCCCAAAGGGAGGCGCCTTGACGGCGGGGCCCAAGGCGGGGCGCTCAGGGTCCAACAAGGTAGAAGCCCCGAAAGCCAAGTGGGGCCCCACGGGGACGGCGACGGTGAGAATGGCGATGATTCGGCGACGCGGCGAGGGGGGCCAAGGGGGGGTCCCAAAGGGAGGCGCCTTGACGGCGGGGCCCAAGGCGGGGCGCTCAGGGCCCAACAAGGCAGGAGCCCCGAAAGCCAAGTGGGGCCCCACAAGGACGGCGACGGTGACGATGGCGATGACGGCGATGGTGGCGATGACGGTGATGGTGAATGCCGAATTCCCCCAGGAAGCCCAAAGCAGGGTTTTGGTCTGCAGCGTTTGTAGGGCCTGTTCGGTTAGAGTATGCAGGATTTGGGTCTATAGGGTTGCGGTCTGTAGGGTTAGGGTCTGAAGGGCTAGAGTCTGTAGGGCTCGGGTCTGTAGGGTTAGTGGGGTCTGTAATGTTAGGGTTTATAGGGTCAGGGGCTGTTGGGTCAGAGTCTGTAGAGTTAAGAGGGCCTGTAGTTAGTAGGGTCTATAGGGTTAGGGCCCGTAAGGTTAGGGCATGTAGGTTAGTAGGGTTTGTAAGGGGTAGGGTCTGTAGGGTTAGGGTCTGTACGGTTCGGGTCTGTAGGGTTGGAATGTGTAGGGTGAGTAGGGTCTGTAGGGTTCTGTAGGCAGGCTTAGGGTCTGTACGGTAGAGTTTGTATGGTTAGGGTATGTAGGGTTAGGGTATGCAGGGTTAGGGTTTGTACGCTAGGCTCTGTAGGGTCAGGATGTGTAGGGTCAGTGTCTGTAGGGTTATAGTCTGTAGGGTTCGGGTCTGTAGGGTTAGTCGTTAGATCAGGCCTGTAGGGTTAATAGGGGGTCATAGTGCTCGTAGGGCTCTCATACGGCTCATATGGGCTCATAGGGCTCATGGGGCTCACAGGGCTGTTATGGAGGCTATCTTGGGCCACCTTAGCCGTCTTGGGGGTCACCTTGTATATCATGTCAATTCAAACCTCCCTGGGACAGGAAAGCGAACGATGCCCTTTGGTTGGTGTCTCTCTCCTGTCTCTCCCTTGTTTCTCCTTCTTCTCCCTGCCGTCGCCAGGACCCACAAAAGTGGCGACAGTTCCGCTCAGTCGCCACTTGCGGGCACAGTGGCGGATTGCGGCAGATGGGGCGGAGCGGAGGGGGGGGGGAAGAGAGAGAGAGAGAAAGAAAGAAAGAAAGAGAGAGAGAGAGAGAGGGAGAGATGGATGGATGGATGGATGGAGGGAGGATTATTTTTTTTTAGTTTTTGTTTTTTCCGACGTCTGCGGCCTGCACGGGCCATTAACCAGGCCCTAGGATTTGATTGGAATCGCAAGCCGCGGGCGAACGAACCGTCCCGCAAGTCTAAAGACAAGGCACGCAGCATTTTCCAGGAATGACGCCTCGGGGCGTCATTTCTGATGAAGGCCCCCTGGGACAAACAGCGAAAATGACGCATACAGGGGTCAGGGCCCGGAACCAATATAACCAAGAACCCGGGAACCCGGAACCGGGAACCCGGGAACCCGGAAACGGTTACCAAAATCTGCGGGAAACGTTCGCCAAATCTTGTAGTTTTCGGCTAAGACCCCTTCAGTGCAAACACTGATTGGGGATCTGTTGGCGATTCGCGCGGTTTTCTTGGATCCGCGCTGGGAACCCCCAGCGGCGCCTCCGGCGCCGCCCCGGCGCCCTCCGCGCGCCAGGGAGGGGGGGTCCAGCTCAGATCCAAGGAGTAAATCCGCACGGATCCCCCCAAAAAAATGTTTATGAAGTTCTGTTGTCTTTTACGTATGTCGGCATCGCCCCAACATGCCAGAGCAAGCACTGATTGGGGAATCTCCGCACACGCGTCCGCCCGCCACGTCGCGCACGGAATTCCTGGCGGGAGACAGCGGGGCGAGGGGCAGGGGGGCCCAGGCGAGGAGGGGGGGGGGGCGGTGCAGGGACACGGGGAAGGGGAACGGGGAGAAGGCGAGGGCCGGGAGGCGCGGCGAGGGGGGAGGATGGGGGACGCAGGGGGGGAGGGGGAGGGGGAGGAGAGGGAGGGAGGGGAGGAGAAGGGGGAAGGAGGGCGGAGGGGAAGGAGGAGGGAGGGAGGAGGGGAAGACAAGGGGCGATGGGGCGCAGTGGGGCAGGTGGGGGGCGGGGGGGCGGGCGGCGGAGGAGCACGGAGGGGAGGGCACCCGGGGCAGGCGAGGCGCGCCCTCTGCGCCAGCTCCGGCATCGTGCCCCATCCTGCCCGTCCCTTCCCGGTGCGCGGCTGCTTTCGCTGCTCTCGGTGGGATGCTTGTCGAGGAGTGAGCGACGGACCTTCCGACGGAGCGTGCCCATCCCCCCCCCCTCCTCCTCCTCCTCCTCCTCCTCCTCCTCTCCTCCTCCTCCTCATCCTCCCCCTCCTCCTCCTCCTCCTCCTCCCTCCTCCTCCTCCTCCTCCGCCTCCGCCTCCGCCTCCTCTCCTCCGCCTCCGCCTCCTCATCCTCCTCCTCCTGTAATCCTCCTCCTCCTCCTCCTCCTCCTCCTCCTCCTCCTCCTCCTCCTCCTCCTCCTCCTCCTCCGTCTCCTCCTCTTCACCCCCCCTCCACGCGTTCCGACCGCTCGTGCCCAACCCCTCCAGCGGATCAAAGGGGGGGGCGATGATTGCCCCGTCCAGAGTAATCGACGACGCGTGTCACAGCGGACCTGGACCTGCAGAAAAAAAAGAACATCGTGTCATGGGCAAGCGGACAAGGGGGCTGCGCACATTGAACGAGGAGGTGGCGGAGAAGCAGGAGGACCTGCAGGAGGAAAAGGATGAGGCAGGGGGAAAAGGACGAGGACGAATAGCAGCATCAGGAGTGGAAGGAGCGGGAGGAGCAGGAGGATCAGGGGAAGGCAGAGAAAGGGGAAAGAGGAGGGCGACAAGATGAGCAACGACTTGGATCTGAACAAGTGGACCACGCTGGGACAATATTGCCAATCTAAATTACGGGAGCAAAGCGCCGATTCGAAAATGAGGCCCACACGCTGCAGCGGGAAACCAAACTGAAAAAAACAAGAGCGTCCCGATTGGGAAAACACATTGTGAACATCAATGGCAGATATCATGCGTGCGGGCAAGGCGGTACATCAATGGCAGGGCGGTACATCTTCCGGACAGAGTCCAGGGAGAAGGGAGAAATGTACAGCAGGAGCCCGACACAATCCACAAGAAACCCAACCCCAAGACCCCAGGACGTCCATTGATTGTGGTGTGGGACCGCCGCGCTTTCCATGGCAAAACCATACCTAAGAAAGTCCGGGCACCTGGGGGGCAAGCAGGGTGTTTCTCGTCAGGGGCTTCCACTGCACCCATATGGAGCAATTGCGGAGGAGGGGGCGGGGGGCGGCGGAGGCGGAGCGGGGAGCGGGGCGGCGGGGGGGAAGCGGGCAGGGGCGGGTGCTGGAGGAGAGGTGGAAAGTGTGAGGCAGAATTGAACTCTTCATCATCATTATCATCATCATCACCGTCATCAGCATCATCATCATCAGCACCAGCAGCACCATCATATTAATACGTCTCCTCTCCACTCCCTCATCCATCCATCCATCCAGCCTCCTTATTCTCTTCCTCCCTCCTTCGCATTGTTCGGCCGTCCACCTCTTTGCTCCCGCTCTTCTCTGATCACCTCAACTTGCTTGGACATCGTTTCTGGATGGGCTGGTGGGGATTTTTGATCGCGACCGCGGCGAAAGAATGTCGGGCGGCGTGCAGGGCACTGCAAGAAGCACTGGTGGAAATACTTTTTAGTCAGCGGCCGCAGGCGAGCGCGCCAGCGGCGAGTCCAGTCAGAGCGGGGCGCGCAGAGACGAAATAACCTAAAGCGATGGGCCGAAGCCTACTGGTGGGGATACCTTTTTTGGTCGCGGGCGTACGCGTTCGCCGAGAGGGTAGTCCGGGGCACAGGCCAGCCTAATTAACTACCGAGCCAAGCGCAAGACGGCCGTGCCAGCACTCAGAAGCGGCTGCCGGGGGGCTGCAGCTGGAGGACAGGTGGGGATACGCGAAGCGTCTAGAATTGAACCAGGGGTGGTGGGGGCACAGGGGAAGGAGTTAGGGGGCGGGGCGGCGTGGGCGCGGGACAGCGGGATGAGTCTGAGGGAGACGGGAGAGGGGGAGGGGCGACTGAGGGGGGTGGGCAGGAAGAGGTAGCAGAGAAAAGACGGGGTCGTGGATGAGGAGAGCATTCAGTGCGCGCTCGTATGAGGACTGCCCTTTTTCTGATGCTCGGTCCCCGCTACGCGACGCCAGACAAAAAAGAATGGCGGCACGCACCTGTGCTACAACAAAGGCGAAGAAAAGGAATGGCACGACGTGAGGAATGGGGGGCAAGGAATGACGGAAGAAGGACGAGGCTGATGAGTGGGGATATGATCGAGGAGGGAGAAGAGGGAGAATGAGGACGAAGACGAGGAGGATACACGGAGGCGGATGGCCAATGGACTGATCCTCATCCTCCTCATCCTCATCCGTCTGCCTCCCGCTCCTCCTCCTCCTCGTCCTCCTCATCCTCCTCCTCCTCCGCCTCCTCCTCCTCCTCCTCCTCCTCCTCCTCCTCCTCCCCCTTCCGCTTCCTCCGCCTCCTTCTCCTCCTCCTCCTCCTCCCCCGCCTCCTCCTCCTCCTCCTCCTCCTCCTCCTCCTCCTCCTCCTCCTCCTCCTCCTCCTCCTCCCTCCTCCTCCTACCCCCCTCATCCGGTCATGTGTTGTTGCTCATGCTTCCCGCCTGGTCGCGTCTTCCTCTTCGTGCTTATCCTCATCGATCCCATTCCCATGCTCACACCCCATCATCCCCCATCACCCTTGTCATCCATACACCTTTCCCCTCCATCCTTTGTATCCCACTTCCAATCCCCATGCCCCTCCTCGCCATGCTCATCCTACTCTTCACTCCTGCTCCGTCTCCCTGCTACTCCTTCATCAACCTCCCTCAACCACCCCCATCCCCCTGCTCCCCCTCATCACCCTTGGTCCCTTGATCGTCATAACTCGCCGTACTCCTCCTAGTAAACTTTCATATCCTCACGCTCCACTTCCTCCGCCTCCTCCTCCTCGTCCCCCGCCTCCTCCTCCTCCTCCTCCTCCTCGCAGCTCCTCCTCCTCTTCCTCCTCCTCTTCCTCCTCCTCCTCCTCCACCTCTTCCTCCTCCTCCTCCTCCTCCTCATCCTCCTTCTAACCCCCATTCCGCCTCCTCCTCCCCCTCCTCCTCCTCCTCCCCCTCCTCCTCCTCCTCCTTGTCCTCCTCCTCCTTGTCCTCCTCCTCCGCCTCATCCTCCTCCTCCACCTCCGCTTCCTCCTTCTCCTCCTCCTCCTCCTCCGCCTCCTCCACCTTCGCCTCCTCCTCCTCCTCCTCCTCCTCCTCCTCCTCCCCTCCTCCTCCTCCTCCGCCTCCTCCTCCTCGTCATCCTCCTCATCATCCTCGTCCTCATCATCATCCTCATCATCGTCCTCATGATCATCCTCCTTTGTCCTCATCTGTCAGTCGCCAGGTCCCTCCTCCACATCCAGCTCTGCATGGTCCTTCCCCTCCTCGTTGCCATGTCCTCCTCCTCATCATCATCATCCTCCTCCTCATCATCCTTCTCCTCCCTCTGCCCCCCCCCCCGCCCACCCCCCCACCCCACACCACCCAGGCCCATACACACACCACTCCACAGCGGCGTCCACATCAGTAGTGACCTCACAGGTTGACCATCATGATGTCATTACCCCCCTCCTCCTCCTCCTCCTTCTCCGACTCCTCCGCCTCCCCCCCCCCCCTCGGTCTGCTCCTCACCCTCCTCCTCCTCCTCCTCCTCCTCCTCCTCCTCCTCCTCCCCCTTTTTTCTCCTCCTCATCATCCTCGACACACATACACACTCTCCGCCTCATCCTCCTCATCCTCCTCCTTGTCATCCTCCTCCTCCTGCTACTCGTCCTCCTCCGCATCCCCCTCCTCACGACCACCACCATCACCACCATCGCCACCACCACAACCACCAGCAACAACGGCACAAACAACAACAACAACAACAACAACAACAACAACAACAACAACAACAACAACAACAACAACAACCGCAACAACAACAACAATAATAACAGCAACAACAACAACAGCAACAACAACATCAACAACCACACCAACAGCAACAAAATCAACAAAACAAAAAAAACACCAACAGTAATACCTAAAACAACATTAACAACCACAACAACAACAACAATAACAACAGCAATAACAACACAGACAACAACAACAACAACAACAACAACAACAACAACGACAACCACAACAACACAAACAACGACAACAACGACAACAACAACAACAACAACAACAACAACAACAACAACAACACCAACAACAACAACAACAGCAACAGCAGCAACAACAACAACAACAACCAAAACCACACACAACAACAACAACAACAACAACAACAACAACAACAACAACAACAACAATTACTAGAACGTGGGGACACTCCGTTCTCACCAGTGCCAGGGTTTTCATACGACGCCCGCCAATACCCCCACTTTGTGGGGGGGCCGGTTCAAGCTCTACCACATTTCCAAACGACTCTTCGCCACCACCCACACCCAGCTTCCCGCCCTATGACGTTCGGACACTTCACTTCGTGGCCTGCGGACGACCGTGGCTACTACACTGGCGCATGGGTACAGTGACTTGTAACATTTTCTGGACGCTAGCTTAGTATACGACTTTTCCCCCTGTTCCAACACTGGACACCTGTACTGGTTTTTGGTGGTAACGTGTTCCTGACGCTAGAATAGGAAACCACGGTAAACCAGTACGACGCCGGTACTGTCTGTAGGTCCTACAATGATATGGACTGCTTTGGCTGGTGAGGCGCTAGCGTCTGATACGACGTTTTTCCGTTTCTGTACCACACAAGCGAAGACACTTATTTTGAGTGGTACCACGTGGGTGGCGCCAGCATACCACAGGACTTGTTTCCGTTGTTGTGAGACGATACATGCTCATTCTTGTTCTGTGGTTGTCGTTCCGGCCTCAATGTGCAATACTGGCTCATTCGTCTACGAATAGCGGAGAAGTTCGAAGCACGTGAAAAAGTTGCTCGCAAAAGCCCGTTTGACAGAAATGATTAAAAAGTGTTGGGTTTCCTACAAATCCGCAAGAGCGCGCGGGATGAAATTTTGACATTTTTGTTTTTGAAAAACCATTGTTTTTTTGATGTTTGTATGTTAAAATCGCTACGAAAACTAAGGTTTTGGAAAGATTTCGTCTTGCGCGCCCGAATGTCCACTTTACCTTATTGTTTCCAAGGGCTTCTTGAAGTTTGGTTATGTTAGAACAAGAAATGTCCACTTTAGCTTATTTGTTGCAAGGGAAAACCGATCGTAACAACACAACCGGATCCGGACTCCCCCGTTTTGCCTGAGACTTCCTCACGAAAATGATGAAAATGAGGCTGCGGCCTAGGCGCGGCGGGGGGTCGTGCACCAGGGGCCCAACAATAATTATTCTTTAGAAGTAATAAGTTCAAACAACAACAACAACAACAACAGCACCAACAACAACAGTAGCACCAGCAATACTAACAACAACGATACTACTACTACTATACTACTACTACTACTACTACTACTACTACTACTACTACTACTACTACTACTACTACTACTACTACTACTACTACTACTACTACTACTACTACTACTACTACTACTACTACTACTACTACTACTACTACTACTACTACTACTACTACTACTACTACTACTACTACTACTACTACTACTACTACTACTACTACTACTACTACTACTACTAGAACTACTACTACTACTACTACTACTACTACTCGGGAGACGCAGACACCAGCATCACCATCATCAAAAACATCAGCATCAGCAGAATCATCATCTGTCCCCGCTCCCCCTCTCCCTGCCACTCATCCCGCGCACCCCGTCCTCATCAATATGACCGACCAGGTCCCGTGATATTGCACCTCATCCATCCTCACGATCGTCGTCGCCGCTCCCGCTTCTAGGCATTATCCACCCTCCCCCCCATGTATCAGTCCTCATCCTCATCCTCCGCCACCCCCTCCGTCTATCCATACTGTCTACTTGTTCCTGCGAGCGTCAACGAGTTCGCGGAACACACGTCAACACACCCCCAACACCGACAGTTAAGCACCCCCCCTCCAACTCCACGTCCTCATCCCCCTCCTCGTCCTGAGACCTGGCGCACACACACACACAGCAGGCCACACCCGAAAGCGCATGGACACTGTCTGAAAAGCGAACTTGCTCGTCGGCGGCGAGGCAGAGTTGGCTGCACCAGCGCCAGAGCTGGACGGGGGCAGCGTAAAGAAAATCGGCCAGCGTGCAAGAGCGGGACGAGGACAGATACGGCGGCCGCGGAGGGGGGGAGAAAAAACGGCCACTCAGAGGCGGAAGAGTTCTCACAAACCTGAAATAGCGAACAAGCAAGAGGGCAACCACATCTGTCGTCAGAGAGTGGGTCCACCCCCTCAGGGGCAAAAAAATGCATGCCTGTAGAGATCCAGGAGGCACGCTCTTGAGCAGAGCCCCGAACCGGAAATGCATCTCGAGGCACAGGCCTGCTCATTCCAAGCGTGGGGTCAGGGACCTCGCCCTCTTGAAGTTGCGATCCGACGGGAGAAGAGGGCCGCCCTAACCTACTCGGCTTCCCGCTGGCCCGCGCGGTGGTCGGACTCGAACTTTACCTGCCGCGGGAGGAGTGGGGAGGGAGGAGGGCGAGAAAAAAAGGAAGAGGAGGGGGCACGCTGACAGAGGAGGGGGACGGTAGGGGGACGACGAGCTGACAGGGGCGGAGGGGGGGGCAGTGGAGGAGGGAGCGGGAGGGGGGGGAGGGGGGGGGGGGGCGAGAGGGGGGTCAATGCGACCCTGGCCCTGCAGGATCCTGCAAGATCGGTCGCTCTGGCTGACACCCGTTTGCATTGACCCCCGTCCCAAGGCTCCCGATCGTCTGCCTTTCTTTCCCTCCCGGCCGCCTTCTCTAGCTCGATCCCCCCGCCCCTTTGCGGAGCTGGGGGCTCGCCCTTTTTTCTTTCCTTCCTGGCCTCATCCAGCTAGATTCCCCCCCCCCAGCAGAGCTGGAGGCTCGCCCTCCTCTCCCTTCTGGCCCTTTCTGGCTAGATATCCCCCCACCCCCCTACGCCGGACAAGCGCGCTCCACGATTCGCGGAGCAGCTCCTCGCAAATGGCCTAGATCCGCGGCGGGGGGTTTGTTGCCGGTCCATCACATCGAGTAGGACAGGGCTGGACCTCAACGTTGTGTTTCGCTTTGTCCTCGCCTTGCTTTTCGTTCTGCTCTACCTGCTCTCCTGCACCTCGCTCCCAGAACGAAAAACAGCACAGAACGCAGCCGAAGTCCAGCAAAACGGCGGTGGGGCCCATCATTCGGAAGCCGGGCAAGGGCTGCTAAATCCGTGGCTGCTAAAATCCACCTCCGGGAAGTTGTCTTCGTCCTTCCGGGAAGAAGCCCGTTGACTGTTTCGCGTGCCGCGCCTCATTCCCGGGAGGTTGTCTTCTCCTTCCGGGAGGGCCGTTGTCGCAGCCACGGCTTTAGCAGCCCTCGCCCAGCGTTCGAATCCCACGGAGGAGGACGTGCCCGCATCGGACGCTTGCGGGCAAGCGTTCTGCGAGCAGGGGAACGCGCTCGGCGAGACGCTGCCGCGGGCGAGGACCTCCGAAGGCCTCCCTGGGCCGCCGGACGGGCCACTCCGCGCCCGGGGGGGGGGGCCTCTCGCCAGGAGGGGCGCCGCAGGCCGCGGGGCCGCAGTGTGTTCGAGTCGGGCACGTCCCTCGACAGGAGGAGTACACAAAAATAGTAAAACTAAATATTCTGGGGACGAGGTTCGACTGCTTCTTCCTATCTTTAACCACTTCTTGACTGTTGAACGTTTCGTCCAAAATCCGCCTGTAGGAGGACACGACGCCCGACCTCATGCCATGCGTCCTCCTCGGAGGCGTGCGTCCGACCCGAACATGCAGTACACTGTCTTCGTCGGCGGCGAGGAAGAGGCTGTCGGCTCCAGCGTGTGGCTATTCGGGGCAGCCGATAAGCGAATTGTTCGGCGTGCAAGAGAGAGAGGAAGACGAGGACGAGGGCGGCCGCGCGGGGGGAGGAGAGGAGAGAGCGCTCAAGCGTGGAAAAGATCCGCGTACAGCAGACCGCAGCGGTCAGTCGAGGCAGCGGGTACAAACATGTAATACACTCGTCTTGCAGTGGTATGTTCCCATGGCATCTAAAGAACACATCCCAAACAATATTTCGAACAACCAGAAGAATATCGAAACCGTGTCTGCACGACGCGCTGGCGAAGTGCCGAACGAGTGTCGCATCCCAGGACCCGACACGTGAAAACCCTCCAGTTTCGACACCTCCTTGGTGCTCAAAATTCTTTCTGGTGATCGAGGCTGAAGTAAGTTGGAATGCACATACTTGTGGTATATTGTTTCACGAGCGGTATGGACAAAGAGCGTCCGCCACGGAGCCTGCACTTTCAGATTTCTCGGCGCGGACGTCACCCCGTGTCGGGCGATGGCAGCACTGTGTTTACTGGGACCTGGTTCAATGATGAGTACCAGAGGGCGCCCCCCCGCCCCATTCCACTGACTGACCTGCCGTCACCCGAAGAACACCAGCTACGGCAGACCTGGTTCAATTAGTGACTCCTATCGATATTTGGGGCTTCGGGGCCTGATCACTAACCAGTCCCCTTAACGTTGCCATCGCTCGAACATCCTTTCCCCATGCATTATTCGGCCTCGTGCGTGTTCGTGTTTTGCCAGGTGATCCAAGATGATACTCGAGGGTCCTCGCCGAGAGAAAATGCACACGTCCGAACGATGCCAAGTCACCGGGGAACTGGCCATGCCCGACCAGGGGGGACGACGCACACACAGAATTAGATCGGGCATGTCCTCCTAGAGGCGGATCGCGGAGGAAGAAAACATGGTCCCCTGACTTCTTTGGACTATCTTTGAATACACCGCCTGTAGAGGGACATGCCCGATTTACCACAGAGCACTGGCATGCTGGGGCGATGCCGACGCACGCAAGAGCAGACAAAACGCCAAAATATAAACTTTTGGCGATCCGCGCGGATTTACTCCTTGGATCTGAGCTGGACCCCGCCTCCCTGGCGCGCGGAGGGCGCCAGGGGCGGCGCCCGAGGCGCCGCTGGCGGTTCCCAGCGCGGATCCAAGAAACCCGCGCAAATCGCCAAACAATTCCCCACTCAGCGCTTGCTCTGAAGGGGTCCTAGCGGAATTTGAAAGATTTGGCTAAAATTTCCCGCCGATTTTGGTAGCCGGGCCGGCTGGGTTCCAAGGTTTCCGGTTCCGGGTTGCCGGGTTCCTGGCTATTGGTTCCGAGCCGATTTCGGAGGGTTCCGGGTTCCCGGGTTCCCGGTCGATCTCCTTGATCGAAAGCCATCCACTGATTTGGGATTTCTCTGGTGTGATTATGCTTGTGGTGTTTTCCCTTTTTCGAATGTCTGACTTCACTTTGGGTGACCCACAAGGGGGTCCAGCTGAAAGGGGGTGTGCCATAGATTTGGGGCAATTGAATTGCACATGTATTGCGCCAGACAATGGTATTGCAGTGTGTTGCAAGTAGTGTACTGCACGCGAGAATCCGGCAATACATCTGCGCCCCTGGATGTATTGCACGCCCCAAATGTCGAGCAACTCCACATATCTATAGCACCAAATCTATGAAGGGGCCCTGGGACACACAAATAAATACACACAAATAACCGGATTCACCATATTTTCCCATATTTTGTCTGGGTCTTTGTCTCCCCCCCACATCCCTTTTTTCTTCTGGGGAATCGACGATCAATTGTGTCTATGTTTTTTCCCTCCTGAATATCTATTGCACCGAATCTGCTGCACCCCCTCCCGTGTCGCTGGACCCCCCTTGGGGCCAGCCCGCTCAGCCCTTGCCGTCGCTCGGACGTCCATTTCACGTGCATGTTCCGGTTTCGTGCGTGTTTTGTTCGCTCGGTGGTCCAGGATGGTGCTCAAGGGTCCTCGCCGACAAAAAAAAAGCACGTCCGAGCGATGCCAGACCCTTTGGGGCCAGCCCGCTCCGCACACCGTGCCGGCGCGCCGGGGCGACAGGCCGACGCGCGGCGCCTGCGCGCCGACCTCCACGACCTGCCCGCTGCCGGCGCCGAAGATGAGCGGGAGGAACGCAGCGGCCACGTCGCCCGATGGCACCGTGCCCTGGCAGGGAGGAGGAGGAGGAGGAGGAGGCGGCGGGGGAGGAGGAGAGGAGGAGAGGAGGGAGAGGAGGAGGAGGAGAGGAGGAGGGAGGAGGAGGAGAGGAGGAGGAGGAGGAGGAGAAGGAGAGGAGGAGGAGGAGGAGGAGGAGGAGGAGGGGGAGGAGGAGGAGGAGGAGGAGGAGGAGGAGGAGGAGGAGGAGGAGGAGGAGGGGGAGGAGGAGGAGGAGGAGGAGGCCATTTTGGGCAATTTTCATGTTCGGCCCCCTGGCGCCCTGCCGGCAGGCTAAACCAGGTGCCGTCTGCGCGGCAGTCAGTCCGCGCCACCGTCGCCGAAGGGCGACTCCCTGCCCGCCGCCACGCGAGCCCTCGCCCAGCGGGCCGCGGCGGCGGGCGAGGCGAAGCCGTGGAGCTCCGCCGCCTGCCATGCGTCCGCCACGACAGGCCGCAGCCCCCAGCGCGGCGGCCGCCCTGCACCAGCGGGAGCGCCTGCGCCTGCCTCGCCGCCTGCGCCGTCGCGGAGCACCGCCTCGAGCCGCGCCTGCCCCTCCAGCGTGGGCGGCTGCTCCTGAGCTCCTGGAGGCGCATCAGGAGCCGCCGCACCTCCGCCGCACTCTCACCAGGGGCTGGCCGCCCCTTGCAGCTGCCCAGCAGGCCTGTCCCAGCTGGAGGGGACCGCTTCCAGAATCGGCAACCACACTTCATGCACCAGGCCACGGCCCCATCTCCATTCTCGAGGCGCGAGACGACGATGCAGTTCCCACGAACCTCCCGCGCCACTCCAGCTCCTGCGATCGCGGCCTTCAGCTCGGGAGCGGCCACAGCCGCCTCCGCCAGCTCGGCAGCCGCGGCAGCGGCTGGCGCCTGGCCGTGCTCCTCTCCAGCAGCAGCCCCAGCAGCAGCGCCAGGCGTCTGGCCGAGCTCGAGGTCGGCCTCGAGCGCCAGCGCCGCCACCTCCGCGTCGGCCTGCTCCGCCGCGTCCAGCGCCTCCTGCGGGATGTCGTAGACGAGGTCGGCCGCGCCCACGACCCCGTCCGAGTCCAGCTGCTCTCGGTCCACCATGGTGGCGGCCAGCTCGCCAACCCAGCGCCCGAGCTCCTCCACGCGCCAGGCACACGCCTGGAGGAACCAGACCAGCTCCTCGTCGATCGGCCACAGAGCCGCGCCTCGCTTGGCCCACAGGTCAGCTGCCCTGTTGCCCCTGATCAGGAGCTCGTCCTCCCAGGTGGCAGCAGCAGAGAGCTCCTTGTGCGCCTTGACCTTCCGCACCGTGGCCGTCGGGCCTGGCCCAGCCCACCACTCCTGCCAGAGGTGGCGGCACGCCTGCAGTGGCGCGAAGGCCTTGCCCTGCGAGGGCGCCAAGCCGACCGTGCCTGCGCAGTCGCAGAAGACCTCGAGGCCCGAGCCATCGGCCGACGGCAACCAGAACTGGGCCAGCATGTGGAACGCGTAGTCCTCGCCGCCCCTGGCCCCCTGCTTGGGCCCGTACGCCCGCGGGACGATGCCATGCGTCCCGCCGATGACCTCCCCGCCGAGGCCGATCTGCACGACCGCCCAGCCAGCGCGGCGGGCCCCGCGCAGCGCAGGAAATCTGGCGCTGCCGTCCACGAAGACCCTGCCCTCCAACTTCGAACCAGGCGGCACTCCAAACCAGCGCGGGGCCGCGAGCGCGGCGTCGGCCGTCGCGGGGAAGGCCAGGGCGGGGTCGGGGCACAGCGCACGCGCGAAGAGCTCTGCCGCCGCGTCCCCGCGCTGCGCCACCAGCCGCGCCCCCCCCCCAGCAGCTCCCGCGAGCACGCATCCCGCCGCAGCATCTGCCAGGCCTCGCACTCGAAGGCCCTGTGCCACAGCGTGCCGCGGCCTCCGCAGAGGCGGCACAAGCCGTCGCGCGCCTTGCCCTCCTTCCAGAGGCGCTCCTGCGGCCAGTGGGAGCCGCCGAGGACCGCTGCGAGCGCTCGCCTGTGGCGGGCCTGCCAGTGCGGCAGCGGCGGCGCGGGCTCCTGGCAGCCTGCGCCCTCGGCGGCCTCGGCGTCGGCCTGCCCCTCGGGGCGGCGGCGCGCGTGGAGGAGGCGCTCCAGCCCCTTCCAGTGCACAAGCCATGCCCAGGCTCCTGGCCCGCGCAGCCGCTTCAGCGCGAGCACGTCCGAGGCCAGCATCGCCGACTCCCGCGCCACCTGCGCCAGCATGCCAGGCGAGTAGAACTCCAGCGAGAGGACACGCGCCTGCCAGTCTATGACGGTATTGAAGGCCACCATCTCGATGCCGACCCGCCTCAGCGCCAGCACGCAGGCCTGCGCAGGATCGCGGCACTGCCCCCAGGGGCGGAGAAGGTCGAGCAAGCCGTGCGCCCCAAGCCAGCACTCCTGCACCACCGCGGCGCTGGGCAGGCCCGCCTCCAGCGCCACGCCCCAGGAGCGCGCCACCTCCACCGCATGCACCGCGAAGGGGTCGCGGTAGGCCCCGCCACGCATCGCCCGCAGCCGCGGGCCGACGCTGGCGCCCATGGGCAGCCTGCCTTCCGCACGCATGGCGGCGATCCGCAGGCCATGCAGCTTCCCACAGGCGAGGCCCGTCACCGCGGAGCCCCAGACGGCGGTGGCCGTGGGGCTGCCTCTCTGGATGTGGCCCACCTGCGCACCTGCACTGCGCAGCATGCGTGCCCGCGCGCTGACCTCCGCAGCGCGGCCAAGCCGAGCGCCCTGCTCGCGCACGCGCCTCCAGCGCCCGTCGGCGGCGTCGCCGCCGAGGCATCGGGCGCCAGTCCAGCGGGCCAGCGGCCCATGCGCCCAGCAGTCGTCCAGCTCGTCGCCGAGGTCCCCGCTGTTCGCAAGGTAGCCCGTCTTCGCCTGCGAGATGACCAGCCCCTTGGCGGCCAGGCCCTCCGTGAGGGCCGCCATGGCCCTGGGGAGCTGCTGCGCCACCTGCGCCCTGCCGCCGACCGCCTGCAGCAGCGCGTCGTCGACGACATTCTGCAGGCGCACCACAGGGTTCTGGCGCACGATCTCCACGAAGAGGGCGTGCACCAGCAGCTTGGCCAGCCCGACCGCACCGCTGCAGCCCGCCACGATGGCGCCGTCCGCCTCGAACGGCTTGGAGACCGAACCGCACCAGGACACGCAGCGCTGCGTGCGGTACGACACGCAGTAGCACTGCAGCAGCGCGAGCGGGAACTCCGTGGCGGCCGCCTGCACGCGCAGCTCCTCGTGGCTGACGTGCTCGTAGAACTTCGCCAGGTCGGTGACGCCCGTGGCCGCCGAGAGGCCTCTGCTGCGCGCAAAGGCTGCAAGGAGGTTGTGCACCACCCCCGCGCGCTCGCACGGGCACTCCGACGTGCCCCAGAAGGCAGGATTCTCCAGCGAGGCCTCCCAGCGGGCAACCAGCGGCTGCCGCATCCTGCTCCAGACCCTCAGCCAGATTGCCGCGGGGCCGATCGGCCTCTGGCCGCCAGTAGCCCTGGGGACGAACACCACGATCAGCTGCCACAGCGCCTCCCGCGAAGGCTTCCGCTCCCAGGCCATGAGGAGCTTCAGGAAGCGGTAGGTCCGCGGGAGGCGCAGCAGCTGCTTCGGGCGGAGCCTATCCCATCCAAGGCCGCACCCCTCGCGGTAGGTGCCCAGGACCCGCTCGAGGTCCTCGAGCTCCAGCGGCGGCAGCACCGACTCCTGGATGTCCCAGCTCTCAGGCGCCACCTCGCCTGCACGCGGCGGCTTGACCCAGAGCGGCTGCCACGCCTTCAGCAGCGCTGCCACTGCAGCCTCGCCCGCAACGGGCATGCGCAGGTCGTCGTCACCGTCCACGCCCGCGAGCACCTCCGCGGGCACCACCGCAACCTGCTCGACGAAGCGGTAGGCCGCCGAGCCGCCCCTCTCGGCGGCCGCGGCCTGGGCCCAAGCGCGCCACTCCGCGGCCTTCCGCTGCGTGTCCAGCCTCCAGCGCCGCCTCACCTCCCCCTGGACGAACTGCACCGTCAGCTGGCACGAGGAGGAGCTGAGCAAGCCCATCACGCGGGCCACCGACAGCCCAGCCAGCGGGCCATCCTCTGGCCACTCGAGCCCGAACGCCACCAGCACCTCTCGCTGCCTGCGCAGCGGCGCCCAGCAGCGACCTCCCGGCGCCTCCTCCTGCAGCGCGCGCCAGCGGGCGCATGCCGCCGAGAACGACATCCAGCGCCTGCAGGCGGCGCCGACGCTCCTCTTGCAGCCCTGCTTCCAGGCTACCTCCATCACGACCTTCTGCGCGCGCAGCCCGCCCGCGCGCCCCTTCCAGCGGCCAGGCGGCGCGATCTCGTGGAGGTCGATCAGGTAGGCCTCCACCGCCTCGAACCACTCCTGGCAGCCCTCCTTGAGCGACTGCCCTCCCTCAGGGCTCCAGGCCGCGAAGGTGCGCTCGAGCGGCGCTGGCCGCACTGGCGGCGGCAGCGGCAGCGGGAAGGCGGCAGGGAAGAGCGGCCGCTGCACCTTCGCCACGGGCCCTACGCCTCGAAGCACCACCTTGAACGGCACGTGGTCCTTCGTCGGCGCCTTCAGCAGCACCTCAGCCACGTCCACAAAGCCCGTGAGGACCCTGCTGACAACCGCAAAGTCAAAGACCTTCGAGCCGCAGGTCGGCTCCTCTGGGCCCGCGAGCGCACCGCCTGCGCTGCGTGCCCACTCGCGGACGTCCACGGGCTCCATGTTCCAGTCACCCATCACGACCCACGGCGACTCCAGCTGCCCCACGTACTCGTGCAGCGCTGCCAGGAGCCCGATGTTCTCCTTCGCCCTGCTTATATTCGTGACGAAGTAGGCCGAGATCACGCGGCACGGTTCCCTGAACCCCAGGTTCACCTCACACACCTGGAACCGATGGGCAGGGGGCCCTGGCGCGACGGCGGCGGCCGACGGCCGCAGCGCGGCCACGGCCACTCCGCCCGAGCTCTCCAGCGGCCCTGGGCCCGTCGGCAGCGCTGCCTGGCCATGCCAGCTGAAGCCGCGCGCCTGCATCCAGCCCGCCGCGCGGGCCAAC